CTGGGCAGAGCCACTCGGGACCAAGCAGAATCACAGAGTGAGGGTTCAGGAGGACCAGAAGGGATAGGGAGTCCCCCTCGCTTGCTCAGTTTTCCAAGCCTCTATGACTCAACTTCCTTTTTCCACACTGCAGTCAAGGTGTGCTGCCTGGTCTCAGAGCATGTACTGGGCACACCAAGATAAGATCTGGTGCCCATCCAAGAGTAGGGGAGGCAGGGCAGAGAGTGACAGCTGACCTTTCCCTGTGGCTTCCTGTGTACCAGGCACCGGCCGGACCGCTCCCTTTCCTTGTGTCCTCCCATTGGGCAGGGGTTTCAGCCTGCAGATCATGAGCCAGCTCCCTCAGGTATAAGGCCATGACTGAGTTCAAGGATTGGTGGTAGGTGCAGTTTTTAGGAAACCAAAAGTAATAGTGAGGCCCACACATCCATGTCCTGCCCTGTGTCCCTCACTCCGCATCCAGGAGAGCAGGTACCTGCGGTTTAAAGCAGGAGCACCTGGGTGAGCAGCCAGGAAGGGCACCCGAGGACATCTGATGAGCCAGAAACGTCACCAGAATAAAACCTATTTAGGAAATAGTTCTCTTTTTTTTTCTCTTTTTAAAATATTTATTTCTTTTTATTGGAAAAGTGTATTTACAGAGAGAAGGAGAGAAAGATTTTCCATCTGCTGATTCACTCCCCAAGTGTTGCCAACAGCTGGAGCTAAACCCAGAAGCCAGGAGCTTCTTTCGGGTCTCCCATATGGATGCAGGCTCCCAAGGCTTTGAGCCATTCTCTGCTGCTTTTGCAGGCCACAAGCAGGGAGCTGGATGTGAAATGGAGCAGCTGGGACACAAACTGGCACCCATATGGGATGTGGGTAACTTGATAGTGGAGAATTCGTCTGTTGAGCCATGGTGCCAGCTCTAAAAATGGGGTTCTTCAGAGCACATTTGGGAAATCATGCTCACCCATCTCTGGGGCAGCCCACCCTGAGATCTTTCCTCTGAAAAGCAGTGGAAGTCTTGGTCTTTGCCATGGAGTGTTAGTGCTGCCAAGAAAGTCCAGGAGGAAGCAAGTGCCAACAGCCTCCTTGGGAACCTCCAGCAGCAGCCCCCAGCAGAGCTGTTGGTACACACCAGGACATTTTAGAGCAGAGCAGAGATACAGACCCGTGACTTCCTGCTTGGGAAGATGGCTGGCCAGATGCAAGCCGACAGACAGACAGGCAGGTGGGTAGGGGTGCACTGACTGTAACATGGCTCTGCCCAAGGCAGCCAAGCCTGTGTGGGCACTCCCAGTCCTACCCCTGGGCTCTGGAGTGTGGAGGTGACCCAACAAACAGGTGGTGGATCCCCACAGTGGTAGATGAGGCGAGCAGTTCCTGGCAGCAACATTCTGGCAAGAAGTAGGGCACACTTGCTGTGCAGCTGGGACAGGCTGAGCCCCTCGGGTGAGAGTATCCCGCAGGCCTCGGCCTCTTCCCCAGCACCAGCAGGGGGACAACCCTTGAGGTAGGACAGGTTTCCATTGCACTCATTCCATGTGCTCACTTCCACATCTTACAATAGTGATAGCCTGGCCTTAAAAGGCCTCAGTGTTTATTCAGTGTGGGCTTCAACCACTTCAAGATCCAGATACTTGCCTACAAGGGTCTAAGCTGAGGCTCCTTTGCTTCTGGGCCCGCAGTCCTGGAGCTCTGAGCAGCCCCCAACCCCAACTCCTAGACCCTAGGGGCAATGGGGAAGAACTCACACCCAGCTGGCCAAGCCAGCAAGCTGGAGGACTTGCTGAGAACCTGCAGGGACCCTTGGCCTGGAAACCTGGGCAGGTGGACCCTGTGCTGGACAGCCAGATGTAGTGTGAGATTTCTCAGCTGTTGCTCAGGGGATCATCCCAGGTCAGTCTCGTGGAAGTTCCATGGGCAGGTGACTTCACTTCTGTTTGACCCGTGACATACCCGGCTAGATGGTATCAGAGCTGGGACTTTGGCTTGGGTTTCTGGCTCACAGGTCAGCATCTGTTCACTGTGAGTGATGTGAGCGGACTAAGTTTGAGGACACAAATGCAGGCGTTCCTCTGAGGCAATGGCTGTTCTCCGTGTGTGACTACTGGATAGCCACTAGTTTCCTGTGATCCCAAAGTTCCAGTCTCAGATGATGCCCTCAGCTCTGCAGGTGATTTTGGCCATGCCCGGTGACCCTGCCCTGGACTGAAAAGGCCCCCTGGCCCCGGCCTATGCAGGAGGAGCTTCCCTCTTCATGCCATGCCCAGAACCTGCAGCTCCTCCAGGCTCTGGCCATGGGGAGTAAAGCTTGGCTCCTGCACAGTTTAAAGTGAGAGTCCAGTGTTCAGAGTCCAGTGCCAGGGAGTGGCCATGTACCCAGTGCTATGCCAGGCACCTGGGAAGTCAGGTGAACACTGCCTGGAAGGAGGCGGAGCCTGGCTGTGCTGAGGGACTCATTGTCCAGATGGGGCTGCACAAACAAGATAACTGGCTTTTCCAGCTGTGCACACGAGTGGCTACAGACTGCTTTCAAATGTCTCAAAAATTCTGGGGCCAGGGGAAGATTGTCTTCCTCATTTTTTGTTGTTTTTGTGTTGTTTTAGAAATATTTGTTTATTTGAAAGGCAAGTTGCAGAGAGAGATCTTTCATCCACTGATTCATTCCTCAAATGGCTGCAACAGCTAGAGTTGGGCCAGTCCAAAGCCAGGAGTCAGGGAGCTATTTCCAGGTCTCCTGCATGGATGCTAGGACCCAAGGACTTGGGCTGTCTTCCTCTGCTTTCCCAGGTACACTAGCAGGGAGCTGTATTAGAAGTGGAGCAGCTGGAATTCTAACCAGTGCACATGCTCACAGGATTATGGGGTTCCCGTGGGGGCTTCTTAAAGGAGAATCTTAAAGGGATGTAAAAGAGGCTTTTTTGTAAAGTCTTAATCTTTCATTCAAATTACCTGTTTGACTCACCCAGTATATGAAACAGTGAGGAGTACTGCTTGAGGTGGTAGGGAAGGGAAACCCAAGTTGTCTTGGTCCACGCAGGAAATCCCGTATTCTGTGGCCATGGCTCTGGCTCTGCCTGGCTGCGCAGGCCCAGAAGTGTTGCCCACCAGCCATGACGGCATCCCAGGACTCTGTGAGTGCTCTCTGGCTGAGCCAGCATGGTGTAGGTGGGCAAAGCACCCAGCCAGTGGGTGGAACAGGGCTTACTGTAATCCAACTCAGTAGAGTGGCTCCTCCTGAAGGGAAAGGGTTGTTATATACCCATCCCTGTTGCGAGCTGGGGAACATTCAGCAGTGAGTCTGAGGTCAGCTTGTAAGTATGTAGGGAAAAAAGACTACTCCCCGGAAAGCCAGGGTACACATCTGATTAGGAGCTGGCCATACTAGGGATAGGGGCACAGGACAGGTGCCAGCAGGCAGCTCCTAGAGTCTGCCCTGCCCAAGGATCAATCCCCACACAAACATCCTAGAGGGTGGCAATGGCAGAAACCGGGGCAGGAAGGCCTTGAAGACCATATGTCACCAGGAGTGTTAACCTGGGCCGTACAGGCAGAATCATCTGTAGAGAAGGAGTCCACTCAAGCCGTACTCAACAGCCAGACAGGAAATCTACAGAGCCAATGTGGACACTCCCAGGACCCAGCAGTGAAGGCCAGCCTAGTGGGTGGGTGACTGCTGGAGCCCTTGCCCAGCCCAGAAAGGATGTGGTTGGCTTGAGAAATTCCGATCTAGGTCACTCATGCTAATGGAATGTCAGCAGGCAAGAGGACACTGGCGCCTTGGCGGAAGTGACTGTGATGCCAACTCAGTTCTCGACCTCTTCTGTTCCCAAGCTGCCTCTCAGGGTAGTATGTGGGAAGGGGGAAAGTGCTAGAAGGCAGTGAGTCCACTGGGAGCCAGGAATACTGCAGGGGTGGTCTGCCGCCAGGGACTTTGCAGCCCTGGCTGCTCCTGAGAATGCACTCTCCCACCCCACCCTCTTCTTCAGCAATGGGCAGAGTTCTGGTCCCTGGGAGAAACTGGGTGGAGGGAAGGGCAGCAGGGCTGGAACCCTATTCCAACTGTACAGCCATTCTCTGGGGACCTCACAAGCCTGCTAAGTGCTCGGTGTTTGCTGCTGTCAGCAGAATTGGGTGTGGTGAGAATTCAAATCAGGCTTGGGAGATGGGTGTGCATGGTGAGGTGGCCTTGGCTGTTGCAGGCATTCATTTTCATTTAATTTTTAATTTTACATTTGATAAAATTTAATGAGGCTTTCCTCATCTATCCAGGGTCAAGAAAACAAAGTTTGCAGTTCCACTTAGGAGATGTTAACTGGCTACGTGTTACGTGCTGGCAAGATGAGAAACAAAATTCTGAGGGTGGACATTTGACTTAGTGACTAAGATGTCGCATATCAAGGTGCCTGGGTGGGAGTTCCAATCCTGCTCCGATTCCAGCTTCTAGCTAATGCATGCCTGGCAGCAGCTGGTGATAACCCATGTGCTTGGTCCTACCATCCACATGGGCAACCTGGAGGGGATTCCCAGCTTCCAGCTTCAGCCTGGCCCAGTCCTGGCTGTTGTGGACAGCTGGAGAGTTTGCCAGCAGATGTGTATCTGTCTGCATCATGTCTATGCATGGATGTGGCTCTGTCTCCCTGCCTCTCTAATAAAATGAGCAGGAACCAGAAGACTGCATGACGTGGTCTTACCACTTCCTTGCACAGACTGCCTTCTAGGTATGGTTCTTAACCCAAAGCTCCATCCTGGGTAGGGCCGGTGGGTCATCCATCGTAAAGCTCTAACTGTCCTGTGGGACATAAGATGCTGTTTACCCAAGAGACCCAGAGAGAGTGAGTGATTCAGGGGTTACAGCAGTAGCTGCCCTATTTCTGGATATGCTTTTTCCCGTTGGTTGCAGAGATGGGCTCCAGAGGTACCCTTTGGTGAAGCAGAATCTCCCTGGTGGTCTTCCACTAAGATTAAAAGTATGAGATGCAGGGCATACTGACCAACCCTCTTGCTCCTGGCAGCCTGATGTTCACCAAGGTGAAGCTGGAACAGATGCTGAAAGGCCCAGAGGAGGCCCTTGTGACCTGCAGACAAATGCTGCGACTGTGGCAGACCCTGTACAGCTTCACACAGCTGGGGTGAGTGGCCGGTGTTGGCCATGGAGGGTGCTAGGCAAGATGGGAGTGGGAGGATGTTTCAAAGTGAGTGTGGAGCTATGTGCTCCTGTGGCTTTGTACTCTAAGGATCCAACTTTGACCTTGACAGACCTCTACCAAGAGCATAAAGACTCCACTTGTTTATGAATTTGAAGACTAGCATGGTAAGAAGACCCAAAGCCAGGGCCTAGGCTTATTGCTTCCTCTGATAGCTCAACTGCTTATATTCCTATCTCATACATGATCAGATTTTCTTCTCAGCTCAAGGAAGAAACGGACCTCAGATACGCCCTCCCTCCTGCTCTGGTCCCCAGCCTCAGCTCTGTGTTTTTCTGAGCCAGATCAGGACACCCTTGTCCATCAGGAAGCTACAGCTAGTCTTTTTTTCAATGTCAATGGAGTGCCTGGGCTCAGCCCATGCATCTCAGAGGGCAAGGCAGCCCCGTGTGGGTGGGTGCATGGCCGCCTCCTGCTACTCCCCTCCTCTGGGACTGCTGTGTGTGTCATCATCCCCCTTAAGCCACAGGGGTCCCCCACCCTGTGGGTATTCACATCTTCACAGGGACTGTGGGAGCAAGGAGGTCTCTAGGGGTAAAATTTACAGAGGAGACCCGAGGGTAATCAGATGGAGGAGGGAGCCTTGGGTAGTGTCAACCTCCCTTTGAAGGCTCCGATGGCTGCAAGATTCCAGGGGATGGCAGGACATTGGGTAGAAGTTGCCAGAAGAGGCTCTAAGATGAGAGCTTTCCAGAAAGGGGATAGGAAGTCCCACAGTGGCTAGAAGACATGGGGGACCTGCATTGAGATTGGCAGCTGGAGCAGGTAGATAGTCTGTTAGCTAATGGCCCTGATGTTGGCTCCGGTTTCAGCGTGATCTCTCAGCTTAAGAGCCCTGACTAGAGTGAGACTCCCTCCTCCTTCCTGCCAACCATCCCCCTCACCAGACCCACCCCTCACTGTCTTCCAGGGGCATGGAGAAGGATGGCAGCTTTGGTGAGGGCCTCACTATGAAGAAACAGAGTGGCATGCACCTGACTCTCCCTGACGCCCATGACGCAGACTCCAGTAAGAACTGTCGCTATGGGCATCTGCCCAGGCTGGCCATGCCCACCAATGGCTCCTGGCCAGCTGCTTCCCAGGGTCAAGAGTTAAGGAGCTGCCCTCTGGCATCTCCCAGGGTTGATCTTGGCACTGGGTGAGGCTGGCTGCCGGCCTGGGACAGGTGGTAGACAGCTGGAGGAGGGGGCAGAGAGGGTTGGCAGGGGGCGGGGTGCAAAGAGTGACGATCTGGGTGGAAAGGTAACTGGAAGCATTCCGCTTAAGCTAAAGCTAGAGGCCAAAGTTGTTCTCACTATCCTTGGTCAAGTTTAAAGGAATGGCTGAGCTCTTTGCTCAGCTTAAAGCTGACTTTCCTCCTCCAGTGGGGTGGGGGTGGAGTGAGAGCAGAGGAGGGTGGACAGGACTTATCCTGAGACCCACAGCTTGCAAGTCCAGGAAGCAGGCTCCCATTTATTTAGCCTGTGAACCTGATCAAGGTAGAGAGCACCTTCCCCATCCTGTTGTGAGAATGAGCTCATGAGGAGAGTTATCATCAGAGGAGATGCTCTGTGAGTCACAGCACACCGTCAGGTGGCAGAGTCGCCTTCAGGGGCCAACCTTAGCACCTGCTGCCAGAGGCACCAGGCAGGGGTGTACAGCTGCAGGGCAAGCTGCAGGCTGCCAGGAGACAGCAGCAGGGCGCAGGGCTCCCTTGCGACTGAAGAAGGACGAATGGTGCACAAAGTTACTGGGACTCAGTGTACACTTGTCCCAGAAACAGAAATCATCTGTGGTTTGTCCCAGGTCTCCTGAGTGTACTAGACCATTTATTGCCTCTGAGAGAGAGAGAGAGAGAGAGAGAGAGAGAGAGAGAGAGAAAGGGCTCACGTTTGACCTGCCTGGGAATTAGACACGTCAGCAGCCTCTGTCCTGACCAGGGGCCCTGGTCACCCGTAGCTGCCAGGGCCTGCCTGTCCCTGCTGCCCCTAGTTTAAGATGCAGCCTCAAGTGGGCCCTTGGAATGAGCACGCTCCAGAAGGCCCTGGAAGATGCATGTTGCAGAAAGATGAGGCATGCATTCCAAATATGTTTTGCTCCGAGTTAAACTTCTCTTTTAATGCCATTGCCCACACACTTTTGGAAGCCCCTTATTTAAAATAGCAGCAGGAAGAAGGATCACCTGAAATTTCTCCACACGGCCTCTCAGACGTTTCTCCTTCTTTCTCTTTTACAAAACCGCATTTGTATTTTTGTGCAACTGAACTTCTTTTCCACCTCCCCAAGTGGTGTAAATGTCTCACTAGGTCAACATCCTTATTTATGCATGACTTAGATGGCTGCAGCGTCTTGGACCAGTATAACCTCAATTACCTCTGTTCTTGGCTACTTCCAGGGACTCTGTTGCTGTCAGTACTACTGGCACCTGTACCAGCCTCTTGGCTGACATTTATGGTTGTTTTCCATAGGGATGGCTTCCCAGTGGGTAAAAGCTCTCCTCCCCAACCCTGGGTGGGAGCTGTTTTGCTGGCTGCCAGGCTGCGCTGCCCTGTCTCTCCACGGGACCCCTGACTCTGATGCTCAGCCTTGGCCCCCCGCTTGTTCCACAGACTCTCAGCGGGCCTCGTCCATTGCGGCCTCGCGGCTTGAGGAGGCCATGTCGGAGCTGACCGTGCCCGCCTCGGTGATGAAACAGGGCCCTATGCAGCTGTGGACCACACTGGAGCAGATCTGGCTGCAGGCTGGTAAGTGTCTTTGACCTTAACTAGGGGATCTGAACCCCAGTGACACCAGTTGAACCCCACCCCATCCCCAGGCACTCAGAGGAGTGGGTGTCAGCTGCAGTGGGGGTGGGGGAGCAGAGACCTTGGGGATCAGAGAACTGGGGCTGTAACTCTAGTTATTTGTGCCCTGCTTGCCTCTGGCAGATCACCCAGTGCATTTAGCATTGGGTTTCCTTCTCTGCCCAGTGGGGAAGTTACTTATGTCCCCTGCCCTGGCAACAAATACAAAAATGAGAGGATTTGAGGCCAGGAGAGGTCCCATAGATGAACAGCCTGCTCAGAGGGCTTCGGACCCTGCTGAGTTACTTGAGTGGCAAGACCATGGTGAACCCTCAGAGGAAGCAGTCTGGGGACAGAGTTCATCAAAGGCAGAGGGAGAGCAGTAAGGTGGAGGCTGCCCTTCAGGTGCCCGTCCCCCCTGAGAGGGCGTCCCTGCCCCGGGTGGTTGAGACCCTGTTGGAACCTGTGACATAGGGATTTGACAGACCAATGTTTAAATGCACTTAGAGTCTAGGGTTTCCCGCCATGTGTGTTTTACACGAGAATGTATTGGTATGATCAGTTTGCAGGGCGTCCCCTCTCTCCCCAGTAGAGTTGCTGAATCTTAGAGAAAAAAAGAAAGATGGGCCAGGATTCACAGGGAGGCTAGACACGTGAGCATTTGCATTCTGCTGGTATTACTCAGGTAGCAAGAAGCCAGCACATCTAGGTCCTGTAGGGTGTTGTGCCGCTGTGGGCTGTGTTCTATCAATTGTTGGATCTTGAGTAGGAAGAGGAATGCTTCAAAGTCTAGAAAAGTAATGAACACATCCTCCTCTTAGGTAAAGATTCCACTTTCCAAAAAACATATTTGTTTATTTATGTGTTATTTGAAAGTTAGAGAAAGGCAGAGAACTTGAATCTTCTATTGCTGGTTCACTCCCCAAATGGCCACAACAGCCAGAGCTGGTCTGATCCAAAGCCAGGAGCCAGGAGCTTCCTCCAGGTCCTCCATTTGGCAGGTGTCCAAGCACTTGGGCCGATTTTCCCTGCTTTTCCCAGGCACAGGGACAGAGATCTGGCACACAAACCAATGCCCACACTCGGTGGGTCATCGTAGGCAGCAGCTTTATCCACTGTACCAAAACTCTGGCCCCCAGTTCCTGCCTTCGTCTAAGACACAGAGCCATCATCAGTCCCCAGGGGCAAGATAGAGTACTAGATCTGCAGGTGTCTGGGAAAGAGCTTCACCCACACTGGAGTGCCCATCACCTGGCAATCACATTCCCCGGAGTTCTGGGTTGCCTGATCAGGAGCTCCTAAAGCTTCATGTTTTTCAGTGCCTCATCTTGTTCACTGCCATCAGCAGGTGCTGCTGTTTCTGCAGGTCCCAAGGATGCTTTCCCATACCAAGAGCACATCACCTTACGTCAAGGACAGTAGCATGGTAGACGCCTTCTTATAGGCCTTGACTGGACTTGGGAATTTCAGTGTAGATACACATCCTTCAGTAATGTGCACATCAACCCTTCTTCTGGATGTTACTCTGGGTAATCACTCAGCAGAAGAGACATCACCTGAAGGCTTTGAACTGGGCACCAGCTAAGAACAGGGCAGTGCAATGTCAAGAGTAGGTATCAGGTCCACAAGAGCAGTGGCGTGCACAAGGAAGATGCTTACTTCTTTTCTTCTTTTTTGTTTATTATTTGTTTGTTTTAAAATTTATTTATTTATTGGAAAGTCAGATATACAGAGAGGAGGAGAGACAGAGAGGAAGATCTTCTGTCCGATGATTCACTCCACAAGTGAACGCAACGGCCAATGCTATGCCGATCCGAAGTCAGGATACAGGAACTTCTTCTGGGTCTCCCACATGGGTTTAAGGTCCCAAGGCTTTGGGCCATCCTCAACTGCTTTCCCAGGCCACAAGCAGGGAGCTTGATGGGAAGTGGAGCTGCCGGGATTAGAACCAGTGCCCATATGGGTTCCCAGCGCGTTCAAGGCGAGGACTTTAGCTGCTAGGCCACACCGCCAGGCCCCGTACTTCTTTACTTCTTTCCATTTGGAGATGACCACCCCTGCCCTCAGAATGACCACTGTGCTATCTCTAGGGAGCTGTTCTCATCCACGTGGTCCAGGATGGCTCCCTGCCACATTCACATTCCAAAGCATAGGACAAATGAGGACAAGGGGAAGAAGGCACACCCTCTCCCCACAAGGACATATGCTGGAGTTCGCACTCACCACTCCCTCTGGTGACCCATCGACCAGAAGTCTACGTACACATTTAGATACAAAGGACTCTGGCAAATGTTATCACTGTGGGTGTCCATCTGCCCCCATGAGGCACCAAGGGAGAGGCAGGTGTTCAGCCCAGCAGTTAAGAGGCCTAAGTCCTACAGCAGAGTGCCTGGACTTGATCTAGCTCCAGCTTCTATTTCATACAAACCCTGGGTGCCAGTGGTGATGGTTCAAGTGGTTGAAACCCTGTCTTCCACATGGAAAAATCTGGATTGAATTTCTGGCTCCTGGCTCCTGTTCTAGCTCTTACCCCTGTTCCAGACATTGCAGGCATTTGGGGAGTGAACCAGTGGATGGCAGTGTCTCTCTGTCTACCTCTCAAGTAAACAGAATTTTTAAAATTAAAAACAGAACAAGCCTCCTAGAGGATTTCCACTCCTGAGAAATGCAGGATGAGAGTGTTGCTCCTTGGGCAGAAGGATCTCTATGAGACTGGGATGCTCCAGGATCCCCAGGGTCACAGATGCTTTCTAAAGAGCAGGAGCCAGCCCCTCCTCACTGCCATGCCTGTCCCTGGGAGCTGGCAGTGTGCCGAGATAAGAAGTTGGACTCAGGGGTGGGTTGCCCTGCCCCTCGAGGATTTGGAGAGCTGGACTAAGCCTCCTCCTCAATGCCAGGCCCATACCCTCTGAGCACTGGTACCCTGGCCTGCCTGTAGAAGCCACCCCAGCTGTCTGCCCATGGCTGAGCCTCCAGGCTGTGACTAAAGCTTGTATTTAAACATAAAGTCATGGTCCAGAAAAGCTATTTCCTGCCCACTCCTCTTTCCTCTGCTTTCTCATCCTATCTTCCTTGGATCTTCCTCTCCTCTCAGCTCCCCACCCATCTCTCCCTCCTGTCTTCTGTACCTTCCTTCCTCATATCCCTTCTTCTTCCCCTCAGTCTCCTGAGTTGGCAGGGCGGTTGCTCTCAGAACAAGAAGTCACCAACAACCCCCAGCTCACTGGACTGTCTGTGTGCACCTGACCTTTGGGGTCGTCTACCTTCCCCCTCCTCCACTCCCCTTCCTGCTTCTTGACCCTGGATGTCTGTAGATCTTGAGGATCTGCTCCATGGAGAGGATGCTCAGGGTGCTCACTTTCTCATTTCCTTTGGGGGTCACCAAGCTGCCCCATCTGGTGAGGAAGCCCCAAGGCTAGCTAGCGAGCGTTCCATTTGGGGCCTAGACTCTGCTGCCCTGGGAGGAAAGCGGGAGTTCTCTGTAGGAAACACGCCCCACCAGGAAAGGCTGCTAAAAGGCCCATAGGTCACTGAGCACAAGGCCAGGCTGAGGACAAGGGAGTGGAAATGGGCCTTGGAGAGAGAGCCACACCTGGCCTGGGTGGAAGAGGCAGGCATTGGCGAGGAAGCTGGAGCTGATCAGCCCTGGGTGCCTGCTCACACAAGGAAGCCTCCAGGGGAAATCATGAAAATGAGTCTTGCAGCACTCCAGGGAACAAATGTTTTCCATTTGTAGCCTGCAGAGAGACAGCTCAGCGGGAAGGGGAGAGAGATGGTAAGAAGAGAAGAACAACGGAGGGAGACAGGCAGAAAAGGAGGACAAGAGGTAGACGGAGAGGTGAGACCAAGTGTTATCAGAGGGAGGAAGACAGGTGGTAGCCTGGGGAACCGCAACAGGGCCGCATGACGCAGGGTACTGCAAGGTTGTATTTGCCAGGACGATGAAAATCCTAGGAAATCGGTAACATCGAGTATCCCTCCAACCCAAGCCAGTGAGGTCAGGTTGAGTGTGCCACTGCAGGGGCCAGGCCACTAAACCAGGAGGGAGGGGATCAAGGGAGCAGTGGGCATGGTGTCATGGGGCTGCTGCTGCAATCTGGTCGGCTGGCTGGCTGGCTGGCTGCAAAAGAAGCACCAAGTTTGGTAAAACACTGAGCAGGGAGCTAGGGGGCGTCTGCCTGAGGCTGCTGAGGCTCTTGAAAGCAGGTGCATTGCAGCCCTGGGACCTGAGGTCCTCGCTGGAGACTGGGGCCTCCCCGAGGTGGTGTACCAGGCAGCCTTGGGAGGCCCAGCTCCTTAGGTTCTGTGCTGTGCCAGTGTTCCCTGCTTGCCTGATGATGCAGCCCGTCAGTGTGCAACAGACCTATCCCCGTGCTTTGGAGCATGGTCTCTGGATGATGACTCCCACCAGCAAGACCAAGGGATTCCCAAAGCTCTGGGGGCTGTGAGGCAAGACAGAAGGGACTGGGGTGGGGCCCTTCTAATTGAAATCTGTTGATGTGAAGGCACTGTGCAAATCCCCAAAGACAGGGGAGAGCCTCCACTGGGCTCAGGAGATTGCACAGCAAGTTGTAAACAGCTTAATGAGCCATGCCAGGGCCACACGAGCCAGGCCTGGGTTGGGACTGCTGACGCCGAGGTCTAAAGAACTTGACTGTGGTGCAGACAGCAGTTTCCCCGCCCACAGACATGCACAACCCAGCACTTCCTTCTGCCTCTCTCCTCTCCTCTTTCGACCCTGGGGGACTGTCAGACCATGGAGCCCAGCCCTCCAGGTCAGCATGGTCTCCTCCTCTCTGCCAACCCAGATGCCCCTGCAACCTTCAAAGTCCCAGCTCAAATGCTGCTCCCCCCCAGAAAGCCTGGCCTGGCCACAGCAGCCACCCTGATCTGACCCCTGCTGAGTGCCTGTGACACTCAGAATTGCTTGCTTGAGTTGTCCTCCTAAGGGCTTTAGTGGCTCTGCTGTCCCCGCCCCCACCTGCACCTCCACTCTTTGTCCTCAGCAGAGGACCTGGCTTGCTGTCAGAAGGGAATACTTGGACGTGGGCCTTTGGGTTATGGAGACAGCCACAGCTGGGCAGCGCAGGCGAGAAAGGCTGAGATCTCCAAGTTCCTGGCCACTGCTCGTCCCGCAAGACCCTGAGTTCTGTCTCTCCTAGCCATGTCTGTGCATGCCGTCTGCCTTGGAACTCTCCACATCATCCTGTCTCCGGGGACAAGAGCCTGCCTGGAACTCTTTCTCTCTCTCTCTCTATCATGCGCGCATGTCAGGGGAACTTGGTGTCTTGGTTTAGCAAATTCTCTGAGTCTCTGGGTTCTTGTCTACAGTAGAGGAGAGGAAGGGAACATGCTGGCTCCAAAAAGCCCTCTGTAGCATTTTAGCATATGGCAAGCCTCTTGGGTTGCACAATGTCCCTCACACTATATTTGCACTAAGGACCCTGCGTGCTGCATGTGGGAGCCAAGGCCTGCGTTAGGTCTTCTTGCAGACACCTGTCAGGACAGGAAGAGGGAGTGCCTGGGCTTTTTTTTTTTTTTTTGTCTCCACCCTCCTTGTAGGTACTTGCACCAAGGATGTCTGTTACCCACCCCAAGCCAGACATAATGTGAACTAGCATAACCTCAGCTCTCAGCCTGGGCTAGGAAAAGCACTTGGCACTGGCACCCGCAGACTCAGCTGGCCTCCTGCATGCCCATCTGGGCTGCCATCCTTCTGTGGCCTCCGCACGGGCACCCACGCCGGCAGGGAGCTGCTTTGAAAGGAAGGCCGAGCAGGCTGCCAGGCCAGCCAAGAACCGTTCTAAAAGCGCCTGCTGGGGGGCGTGGGCCTGAGCAGCGCGGGATGGAAATGTATGTTTGTGTGGGCTGCTCCAGGACTGGAGAAACTGCCCTCTACCCGCTGATGCACACCAGGGGCAGATCTGGGCCTGCCCGTTTGCAGAAGCCCAGGCTGTGTGTGCTGCCCATGCAAGCGGGGGCTGGAGGACCCCTTTCTCACAGAAGGAATGGACTGAGGTTTTTCCTCGTCAGCCGGGTTTTTTAGGGTGGAAGTTATGCTAGCATACCCCATGCCCCCAGCAAGGGAGGAGTCATGAAAAAAGGGATTTAACACCATCAGGACTGGGCCTGCAGCCAGCCCTATAAACACAAGTGGTCATTTCTACAGCTTTGCCCCTTAGTGGGTGCTCCTAGCACCCCTGTCCCCCCTCCTAGGCCACACCCAGCCTTGGCAGGATCCCTGTTTCTTCTGAGGATGGGGTCCACCTTGTCTTGCCCTGACCACTCTGTCCTTTGTCAGACTCCCACCAGCACAGGTAGAGGGGACTGGAAAGTTCCACCGTGGCCACCTCTGCCCCTTCTCCTGGCACCTGTGGCAGCAGTCGGAGTCATCCACATGAGCTGCCAGCCCCAGCCTGCTAAGTCAGACCCTGGCTGCAGTGCCGAATCCAGCTGTAGCCATGGACCTTCCCCTCTGTGTCCTGGTTTCCTGGTCAGCAGGGGCTATGTAAAGTCTCACGCTCTGAGACTGTTCGTGGAAGGTAGGGGAAGGGTTGCTTAGCAAGGTGCATGGCACAGGGTGCACACTCAGGAGACATTCCCCTTCCCCAGTTTGACCCTGCTAATCCTATGGTGAATTTGGCCTGTGCTGGGAGCCGGTGGGATCTTACCCTTCCCTGCAGAGTGGCCCCCCACCACTCACACCTCCCACGACCCTTCTGGTTCTGCAGCTGAGCTGTTCATGGAGCAAAAGCACCTCAAGGAAGCCGGTTTCTGCATCCAGGAGGCTGCAGGCCTCTTCCCCACCTCTCACTCGGTGCTCTACATGCGGGGCCGGCTGGCCGAGGCCAAGGGCAATCTACAGGAGGCCAAGCAGCTGTATAAGGAGGCGCTCACAGTGAACCCCGACGGGGTGCGCATCATGTACAGTCTGGTGAGTCTGTCCTCCCAAGGCCCCTGGGCCCTGGTCCCACTCGTCCCTCCTTAGCCCCTGCCCCACTGCCTACTAGGGCCTAGTGCCCAGGGGAGATAGGCTCCCCACTGCGGACTGGCAGTAATGGCTCACTCTGGCTCTCACTTGGTACCCCTGCAGGCTACTCCATAACTTCTTTTTGGCCTTCCTGTTGCTCATCTGGTCCTTACCCTGAGCTCCAGGCAGGTCCCCAGCTCCTCTCTGGGGGGGTTGGGATGACCCCCTCCCTCTCAGTCTCCTTACTGGAATTTGGGTTGATGGGAGGGGGTTGTCTGGGCAGACTGGGATGCCAGGCCTGGTGCAGGCACACACTGCAGTGATGGTAAGAAGCCTTGACAGCCACCATGCCTAGGACGTGGGCTCCGGCCTCAGGTTCCAGTATACAGCAATCTTCCTGCAGAACGTGGTGTGGAGGCTAGGGAGCGGCAGGCCGATACCCTCAACCTGGCCTGGTCACTTTGTGTCTCTGGGCTATCCGGGGCAAGTCAGCGAGCTTTGGTGTTCCTTAGCTGTCTAAAGTTAGAGACTCTGAACCAAGAAAAGCTTCACTGAGTACCTGCTGTGACAGGTGACACGGTGGATCCTTGTAATGGCCATTTCAGTATGCACTCACGGGACTGAGCGTGGCCAAGCCTGTGTGTGCACAGGAGGCGTTAGATGGATCTCTGAGAAGCCCACAGCGAGTGGCCATCTTGACCTCCTGGTAACAGCGCTCTGTCCTGGATATCCCAGATCTCATAAGCTGTGTAGGACAGCAGGAGGGTGTCCCTGATGCTTGCCACAGGGAGCCCACAGAAGAATGGGGAGGACTCCGGATGGCCGGAAGGTTGTGCTTGCTACCCACGGTCTGATGTGTCTGTGAGGGAGCCACTGCAGCTCTGTGTCAGGGAGAGTGTCATGCGTTACCACAGGCGGTGATCGTCTGGGGGGGGAATTGCCAAGAGAAGGAACACATCACGCGGGGAGAAGCTCCGGAGCTGGGTGTCTTTATAAGACCCTTTCCAACACAGGAGTCCTCAGAAACAGCCCCGGAACAGAAGATCTCAACTCAGCTGTGGTTCCCACTACCTCATCTGCCCCTCAGCTGCCTGAGTATTTAGCATCCTTCCCCAGGCGTCTTTGCCTTTTTTTTTTTTTTCCCCAAAATGCATGTTCCTTCCTCTTGCAATTCAGACGTTGGCTTCCCTGATACATGCCTTGCTGGAGGTCACATCCAGAAACTCAGCCAAGGGAGGTAGGTGGGAGGGATGTGGGTTGTCATTAGGCCTGGTGCCAAGGCAGAGAGGGCTGGCTCCCCCTGCCTTCTTGGATAGGCGCCCGAAGGCTGGGCCCTAGAGCCGAGCAAAATCCACTAACAAGGCAGATTCTGCAGTCAACAGTGTACCCTCCCTTATGTGTGCTTATTATGGTTGGTAGCGATTTTCTTGAAATTGAAGCAGGTTCCAAGAGTGGGTTTCCATGGTAACCGCCTAACTGTCCAGAGTGGCTCCCTACAGATGTTTCTGAAGTGGTCTTTTTCTTTCTCCCTGCCTCCCCGCCACCCCCTGGGTGCCTTGCTGATTTGCTGAAACTAGAGCAAGTTGGAGGCAGGCCTCTGCCCACTTTTAAACTTACAAGCAACCGGAGGGGCAGCCGGCTCCTGCGTGGGCAGCTCCTCCCTCCCCCACCCTCCCCTTCGCTCTGTTCCTGCCAGCTTCCCACACGTGTGCATAAAGAACAGGCAATTGCAAGCCGGGGGGGAAAGATTCCCTCAGCACTGTCTTGTTGAAGCCGCCGGAACACTGTGGTGTGTGGATCTCACGTGTTCCCTGCCCTGTGGCAGCCCAGGACTGGGGGCAGCAGGGACTCACATGGGAGGAAATGGTGTGGCTCCCTGTGGGGGAGGTGAGACAGGGGCCCCAGACTCTGCCTGGCCAGGTCACCAAGTCCTCCCCATCCCTTTCTGAACCTGCTGGGAAGCTCAGAACAGGGTGTGGCTGCTGAAGTCCATCGCCACATGTGAGGAGGAGGTGGGCGGGACACTGAGTGAGCTGAGCTGGCCATGGGTTCAGAGCAGGAGGGCTGAGCGCTGCTGGCATGATTTAGCTCCAGACTCAGTTGTGTCCATAAAGACAGGGGTGCAGGACTGCCAAAGCCCCTTCCCCACTTGTCCAGCGCTGCCGCTGCCACTCTCCCCCATAGCCAAGGAGGCTGTTGGAGCCCCTTTTGGCTGGGTCCCCCTCTTGTTCCCAACACAAGGGTTTGCACCTCTAGCACTTAAGAGTCCAGAAGGCTCCCCTGCAGCCTCCTCCCAGGCCCGGCTGGAGGCTGCACCAGCCAGGGTCTTGAAATCCACTTCCAGTGTGGGTGGTGGGCGTGGTCCCCAGCTCCTCTTAAGGCTCCTGCTGAGAGGCCACTGGGGGTTCTTGGATGTCACCTCCAGAGGACCCAGGAAAAGAAAAGGACACATGTGGCTCTGCAGCGCTCAAGGCACATCCCCACACACACCCCGCCCCATCCTAAAGGATTCCCACCATGGTGGGCCTCCCAGTGCCTTTGGGACCACCTCAGCAGGGGCCTCTTCCTTCCCTACCCTCGCTCCCTCCAGGGCAAGACGAGGGGTGGGGTCTGTAAGGATGTGTGCCCCTCTTCCACACCCCAGGAGGAAGTGGGAGCAGCCCCTAGGGATGTACAGGGCAGGGCAGCTTCCCAGGCTGGCCAGACAGGTTGAGGACGGGCACAACTGAGGGAGTGGGAAAGGCCAGAAGCCCCCAGTGCTGGCAAGGCATGTCCTCCGTGTCCCCAGACCAGGGGCTCCAGGGACCAGGAGGCTCCGCTGGCCTCCAGATGATTCCCAGCTTCCCAGCTGGAGAGTCTGTCACAGAATCCCAAGAATGTGCCTTGAGCTCAGAAAGAAAATTCCCAAAATAACTTCTATAAATACTTGAGGGCAGGAGTAGGGAGGGAGTATTCGGCCTGGACCACAGCTGGCCAGGCCTGGCCCGTGAGCTGCTTCCCTGGGACGTGCCTCCCGCAAAGAAAGCGACATACACAGGCGTACACATGCCACCTTTCTGCCATCCTTCCTGCCTTGAGCGGTGCGGAGAGGGTCAGGCGTGGAATGAATGGGGAGGCAGTTCTGAAAAACCACATCAAGACTACTGAGTCCCTTTTCTGCACCCAAGACCCTCCTGTGGTGAATGGCAATACAGGCAGGAGACAGGGCCCTTGTCCCTCGCATCCTGGGCAGGGCCGGGCGTGTGAACAAGAGCCCGCTTGAAAAGAACAAGACCTGGAGATCAGGTGGGGCGATTGTGTTGTCAGGAAGGATTTCCTGTGGGGAGCAGGGTGCTGGGCAGCTATGGCCTGGCCAGAGGGAGCCCACCTCCCTGAGACTGGAGAGGGAGGGAAGAAGGAGCGAATGGAGGTGAGAATGGCCCAGTCCTGTCCCTTCCTGGGACTACGTGGGTGGCTCCAGCCTGCGGGAGAGGTGCTCAGGCAGTCAATGGCCCTTACCAACTAGGGCTTTTGACCCCTGTAACTGGATGGTACCCAGGTTGGGTTCAGGGACTGGTCTGGGCTCTCGCATCCAGTAAGCAAGAGACAGGAAGATTCAGCAAGGGCTGCTGGCTGGACCCAAGGTGCAAAGTTCAGTGTCTGTCCATCGTCTGGGTGACCGGGGAGCCAGGAGGGTGTGAGTGGACACTTGGTGTAGTGCAGGCAGAGCAGGTGAGACCTGGAATCCTCCCATGGCTGGGTCCGCGCAGTTGCCAGGCAGCAAACAACTCTGAGTTGCTACCAAACACTGAGGCGGTTGGTGTCAGGGGCAGCTGGCAGCAGATCCTGTTACAGGCCCCCCCCACGTCCCCCCCACCCCTGCCTTTGGGCCCCAGCCTGACCCCAGGCCCTGGTGTCTCCTTTCAGGCCCTCAGGTCAGTATCCCAGGGTGGAGGTGGGAGGAACAGGAGCCAGCGCCTGCCCGCCTGCCACGGTCACCCTGCAGAGCCATGCCTCTCTCCCAGTCTCCACAATCAGCTGTACCCCTCACCCCCAAACCCAGAGCACCCTCTGCTTGTCTTAGAGGCACTGCCATGATCTCTCTACCCATTCCATGCCCCTGGCTGCACTTGTTGAAGTTCATCACCACGGAATCCTCACAGCAGCCTATGCCATCTACCCCCTCACTTCCCTGTCCCCCAGGGATGAGGAACCCACAGCTCTGAGGTGGCTAGCCACAAGCTGGAGTCACAGCCCTTGTTGGCAGCAGTGTTGGGGGATTCCAATGTCACCGGGCATCTTGCTGCCCAGCCAGGGTCTTTTGCTTCTCCACAGACAGTGGGGAGGGTTAGAGCAACCCTTCCATGCTAAGAAAAGCCGGTGCACGCACGCACACACCTTGCAGCCTGCCAACACACCTGACCCCTTCCCAAAAGCCCACATGCATCTTGAGATGGAGGCGTTCCCCTAGTAATTTAGCAGGGGAGCCCTTTTCCCAAATAAAAGCATGCGGAGAAAGTTTAAGAGAGAAAGCCTCCTCCTGTGTAGAAGCCACAGGGCCCCGCCCACCCTGCCTGGCTGCCCCACCCCCACCCCGTCCTCTGTTGCTCCCCATGGGCAGGACTCATAGGGCCCAAACCTTCCATTTTTGGTGCTCAAATTTGGTGTCTGGCAGCCGGGCGGCTCTCCTGCCTTGCCCCTCCCCATGGGCCCGGTTCCACTGGGAGCTGCTCGGCCCAGCTCTTGGGCTATGTGGGCAGAACAGCTTGGCCCAGAGCCCTGCTGGCCAGACGGACACTGCTGCCCCTGGTCCTGGGCAGCCCTGAGTCAGCACCACTCCCATCTGGCTGCCCTTGTCCGCCACACACCTCTGTGGGGGTGTGTAGTGGCCTGGGTGCAGCCTTGCCCAGGGTTTGTAGAGGCCATCAGAGTTCAGCTCCTTCCCCCTCTGACCCCTGGCCTCTGGCCCCAGGACCTACCCTCCAGAGAGAGAGGGAGAGGTTTGTCCTAAGACTTACAGAGCGCGCACATGCACCATCTCTCAGGCTTGCCTAATTGGCCGTATTCCAGGCTCTCAGAGGACTTTATGAAATCAGCCATGTGCATCTTCCCTGGTGCGTCTCCATAGCAACGGAGGGCCTAGCTCTGGGGAGCTCAGCGAGGAGGAAAATGTTCCAGCTAAAAATGTCCGTGGCCATCAGTGGGAGGCGCAGGAGAAGGGGCTACAGGCTCAGAGCAGGCAGCAGTCCACCCCCACCCTGACCCCTGCCTGGCCAGGAAGGCCAAGTCAGGGCTTTGCCTTCTATCTCCAAACCAGAGAAGGAGAACGCCCTGTGTAGCCCTGCTGTGCCACCTTCGAGGGCTGGAACAGATGTCAGTGGGATGGTGCAAGGCAGCCTCTCTGGGACATGAGGTCAAATTGGGATCATTGTCCCTTCCACCAGCTCCCTGCTCCATCCCCTCTGTACTCCTCCCAGGGTGGGCAGAAGAGGATGTAGGGTACCCAGACTTCCACTTTCACTTCCCAGCCCCTGGTTCGGACCGTTCCTGCTGTTTCCTCCATTTCTCTGGCAACAGGGCTTGTTTGAGCAAAACAGTAGGGCTGTGCTTCTCACCACCCCTAAACCCCAGGGCCCTGGAGCCTTTCATCTGTTAGCTCGTCCAGCCCGCCCCAGGCTACCACTCATCCCACCCTTTCCCTGGTCATCTCACTTTCCTATTGGGAGCCTCGCTGGCCAGACTAGTCCAGACTCGGTACTTAGGAGTCCATAGGAATCCCAGCTGCCCAATACAAGCCAAGAGCATCCCTTTCCTGCCACAAGTTTGGGCTTCCCTTCTCTTGGTGCGGTGCTGGGACCATGGCGTCCCCGGAAGTCCCCAGGGAAGCACCTGCTGCAGGAAGTGAGGGCTGGGAAGGCTAGAGGCTGCTCCAAGAGGCTGGGATGGAAGGCTGGCTGGGCCTGGGGCAAGGAAGATTTTCATCGGCAAAGGGCATGAAAGGGCACGGCTGCTTTCATAGCATCCAGGCTAGGGATCTTGGAGCTTCCCTGGCTGGCAGCTGATGAGGGAGCTGTTCCTGCCCTTTGCCTGATTGGCAGGCTGAGCCCTCACAGCCCCTCTGCCCCCTCCCCCTTGGTAACCTCACCCCTGTGCTTACTCCCCCAGGGTCTCACGCTGAGTCGACTGGGCCACAAGAGCTTGGCCCAAAAGGTGCTGCGGGACGCCGTGGAGAGGCAGAGCACCTGCCATGAGGCCTGGCAGGGCCTGGGGGAGGTGTTGCAGGCACAGGGCCAGAATGAGGCTGCTGTGGACTGCTTCCTCACCGCCCTGGAGCTGGAGGCCAGCAGCCCCGTGCTGCCCTTCTCCATCATTCCCAGGGAGCTCTGAGCCGCGCCCTACGCAGCAGCAGCAGCAGGAGGGAAAGCATAGCCCTGCTGTGGGGCAGCCAGGCACGCCACCAGGAGGTGTGGGGAAAATACATCAGTCGTGAGCACTACGTTTCTTATCTTCCCCATTCCCACCCCGCCCCCACCCTGGCTTTCCCCCAGCTGGGCCTGGGCACTGTTTGGAGCCAGGTGGACAAGATTTGCATCCGAAGCAAATCCCACGCTGCCTGGGACACTACTGACGGTGGCTTTTTGGAGCCAGCAGGGAAGTGGCTGGGAGAAGGCAGCTCCCAGCTCCCAGCGTGTGCCAGCCAACTGTGCACTCAGGCTAATGAGTCTTGAGGTCTCTGCTCAAGGGCACCAAAGATGAGCCCCGCAGCCAGCCTCTGGCCTCCTGCCTGGATGCCCTGCTCACGATCTTGGCTTGAACCCTCAGTGATTTGGTCACATAGTGGGGACCATTCCTGCTCCGTGGCAGCTGTACCCTGTACCCACACGTGCCGCTGCCTGGGGTTGGGGAGCCCACCCCCACTCTCACACATCAATCTCAGGGCAGCACGTTGGGTCTCTCTCAGGTCTTAACTGCTGGAAGGAAGAGCTGGCAGGTTGGAAGGAGGCAGGAGCCATGGGGGCTGTCTGTCATGTGCCTCTCTGGGCTTCTAGTGTCTGACTGGAGGCCCCAACTGACCCTTGCCTGTCCATCCACTGCCATAGCCCCCTCTGCAATGTGCCCTTGGCCAGGGACCCCTAGGATGAGCCTCAGGATACACATCTGGCCGTGGACCAGCCATGGAGTCCACGCATTGTTTCCTAAGACTCACCTTGCAACGCAGGTTTCTGTAGGCCCAAGAACATGCAGGGCAGCCCCCAACACCTGTCATCCCCAATGGCCCTTTGGTGGGCTTTCCACAGTGACCTGGGCCTGGCTGTGTGTTTCCCCTAGCCTGGGTTGCCCTGAGGGGCTCCATGTCCATAGCACAGCTCTGCGTGCAGGGTTTGAGACACTGCTGGGGTGCACCCCCCAGGACCCTTCCCAAGAAGTCAGCCCCTGCCCAAAGGGGGGGAGCCATTTTCGGTCCTCACTTTGCACTTAGGGTGTAAAGCTCCATGTGGTACTGCTCTTGTTTTCAGAGAGAGGGATTGGAAGGTGGGTGGGCACCGGCTGCTCTGTGGTCTTCTGCCCAGACCCTATATACTGCACTGGCTCAGGACCACAAGCCCCAAGCTGCTGCCCTGGGGAGCCAGCGCCTCCTGGCCCTTCTGGGCCAAGCCAGGGGGCATCTCGGAGGATACTGGAGCCTTTGCCTCTTACTGCAGCAGGCTCTTACTGCAGGCTTTGTCTGTGTGTTGCTGGCTGTGGCCTTGCAGATGGGAGAGACGCTTGAAACGGAATCTGCTCGCCTGCAGGGTTCACTGCTCCCCACCCCCTTCCCCCATCGCCGCCCAGCACTAGGAGCAATCCAAGCCCAGAGTCTCCCGCAAAAATGAGTGTCACACGAGGAAAGCAGCCAGGACCTGGGCCAGGTGGCTCAGCAAGGGTAGAGGATTTGAGCAGCGACAGACTTGCCCAGGGAGAAGTGCTGAGAGGTGAGGGACAGGGGATGGGCACAGGGCATGGGGCTGAGGCCCGGAAGGTCTGCCCTCCTGCCTCCGGGGCCCCACCCCTGAGCAGGAGAGTCTGATGTGCCTCAGGTGGCCAACAGAGCATCCTTTCGCGCATGCGGGAGAGAAGTGGGGGGCTACTTCCAGGTGGGCTTCAGCTGCTGGGAAGCCATTCTGCACCTTGCAAGTGGGAGCTTGATGCCCACACAGGCTCCCATCAAGAGTTTCAGAGAAATTGTGGAAAATAGATGTTTGAAAAGACTGGATTTCGTGAGGGTTTTTTTTTTTTTTGCATCAAAATAAACATCTTTTAATTCCATTTGTCCATGAAATTTTTGAAGCACTTCATTCAAGAGTGATACAGATTTACTCAGCAGTTCTACATGCCCCCAAGGGATCCCTTGCTGCCCTCCACCCCACAGCTATAAACCTGTCCCTCAACTTTGAAGACCAATGCCCTGAGGCTTCTCCTTGAACTTGAGGCTTCTAGAAATGGGGACTCCCCTGCTGTTGGGGCTGCATTGCTTCTATTTTTTTTAAACCCTGTTTTCAACCTTGCTGTCCCAGGAAGGAAGGGCTTAGCACCTTGGGGTGCCCAAGGCTTTTCTCTAAGTGACTCATTTATGAGCTAGTGACAATAGTCATGGAGCCTCTGGTCACGCCCCCAGCCCGCAGCTCAGGGCTGCTTCCTATGCTGTCCGCTCGCTCTCCACTTGCCTAGGAGGGAGGCAGTAGGGGAGATACTGGAGGGCACACAAGGGCTCTGCCATACGGTGCCTTAACAGATTGGGCCAGGCTGTCATTGTGTTGGTCATGTCAGAAATGCAGGCAGTTGGGGTGTGGGAAAAGGAGTGGCAGCTAGCCCAGGCATTTCCTGGCCCCAGTTTGCAGACCCCATGCTCAGACACAAACCCTTCTTTGGAGAGCAACAGAGCCAGCCCCGGTGTCTAAACTCATCACAAGAACAAGAGTCGAAAGCCAAGACAGGAACGGAGGGGCTGTCCAGCCAGCCCCGTGGACCTCTAGCCCACCCTGCGCTCTTGGTGTTAATAGTAATTCTCTGCAGGTGCAAATATGAACGGGATTTCAGCCACCGTCTCACAGCCTCCTTTCTGGTACCTGAGTGCTCATTGTTGCATCCACCTCACTCCACACACACACAGCACTCAGATATTGTCACGGTGCAAATATTTCTTGGCCCTGGGAAGCCTGTTGCTGAACCAACCTCCCCACTTTCCCAGCCCATACTGCCAGCTCTTGATGGCAGCTCCCAGTTGGGTGGTACACACAGAAGCCACCTGTAGTACCCAGCCACATTGCTACCGAGCTGGGAGACCTGCCTGCCAAGGAGCCTGCTGTCCCCTTGCCAGAACTCGTATCCTGGGTTCAAGTGGCCACCTGGCTGAGCATGATCAAGGCAGTAAAGTGGCACAGTCAGTCCTGGGCTTGGGCGTCTTGCTCTGCCACACACTGCTGCATGGCCTTAAGCACGTTGCCTCCACCGCCCCACGTCTATATAGGAAGCAGGAGTGGGACAGTGGGACGCTGCCGGCTTTGTGGATTGTGATGATAAAACCGGCAATGCATGTCAGGAGCCTAAGCAGTGCCTGGCCCATAGTGGCTGCTCAGCACATGGCGCAGTTATGTTCTCTGCCCTTTCCTGCTCAGCCCCTGCCTTGCCTGCTGACTTGCTCACTGGCATGTTACTCTCCTAGGACATGGGTCTTCCGGCACTCCCCTGCCACCCCCCCAACACACACCTGCTACCTGCAGGATGTTTAAACCACATCCACTCTAAGCAGCCAATTCTGATTGGTCTCATTTCTGGGTTCCTGATGACCGGCTTCCTTTAGTAAGATGTTTTCCCCTGAGCCAGTCAATTACTGTGGTGGACATGGGTCTCAGGATGTCAAATATGGTCACTTACCAGGGTTCTGGTTGGGCAGTGCCCCAACAGTGCACCCTTTCTTAAAGCCCTGCCCCTCGGGCCCGGCGGTGTGACCTAGCAACTAAAGTCCTCGCCTTGAACACCCTGGGATCCCATATGGGCGCCAGTTCTAATCCCAGCAGCTCCACTTCCCATCCAGCTCCCTGCCTGTGGCCTGGGAAAGCAGTCGAGGACAGCCCAAAGCTTTGGGACCCTGCACCCGTGTGGGAGACCTGGAAAGAAGTTCTGGCTCCCGGCTTCGGATGGGCATAGCATTGGCCATTTGTGCTCACCTGTGGAGTGAATCATCGGACGGAAGATCTTTCTGTTTCTCCTCCTCTTTGTATATCTGACTGACTTTCCAATAAATAATCTTTAAAAAAAAAAAAAAAGCCCTGCCCCTCCTACTCAGTGAGTAATTGTGGGTGTCTCTGTAGGGGAAGTGGGGTACTGACTTCAGTGTGCACACATTGGTGAACAGCTGCTCTCCTTTCTCTCTCCCACCATCAACACCTCACGGTGTATCCACAGGGGCTCCTGGCCCCAGCCCTCCTCCTGAAAATGACAGTGACAAAACTAATGCTGTCCCCAGCACCACAATGCTTGCTAGGGGCTTTCCTCCTCAGCACTCCTTGGGGAGTCAGCAACCCTGGGGACTGCATTTTGTACCCGAGAAAGGGGAAGAGGTGATGGTGCCTCTATTGCAGCACCTTGGTACACAATCAGGCCTGGGATGCAGGGTCCTACCCACAGGGCTGGTGCTAGGTCATTGGCCTCCCTCTGATGTTTGGCCCTGGGGAGAGAGGCCAGAGCCACCCTTCATGGCCACACCCAAAGGGACCTGCTGGGATCCAAGGACTTGGACCACCCAGAATGCCCCGAGAGAGCGACCTTGTTGGGGAGGGAGAAGGGCTCTTGGATGTGCAGCTAGCCTCACTGCATAGGTAAAGGCAGTGTCGTGGGTCATGCTGCCTTCTGAGCAGATGGAGGATCCCTAAGCCAAGATCACCCAAGTGACCAGAAACCGCAGGAACAGGCTCTGCAGATGGCTGCGAACAGAGCGGGTCTGCCTCAGGAGCTGCGTGTAGAGCTCTGTGATGCTGTAGACCTGACCCCCAGCCCACTGGACCCTGTGTTCCAGAACCAGAACATGCTCTCAGAATGGCACAGACACCCTGCACAGAGACCCCCGTCCTGGAGGGGTTGTCACTGTCCTCTCCTGCTCTGCCTCCGTCAGCTGTCTCTTGGGAATTTGGCAGAAAGTGAGCCATGGAGGGCTACTTTGAAAATACTTCCGGGTTTTTAAGTGTTTTCTGGATAGGCTGCATAAGTCATGCCCCTTTACCCCTTGTCACTTAAATGTGATTTTACCAAGAGTGAAGGTCTTACAGTTAACTTAGCTTACAGTTAATGAATGAGGAAATTAAACAGTAATACAATACTCTCTAAAAAATGACCTATGTAGGCCAGTACAATGGCTCAATGGCCAAATCCTCACCTTGCAATAAGGGCACTGGCTTGTATCCCAGCTGCTCCGCTTCCCAACCAGCTCCCTGCTTGTGGCCTGGGAAAGCAGTAGGGGATGGCCCAAAGCCTTGGGACCCTGCACCCGTGTGGGAGACCTGGAAGAAGCTCCTGGCTTCCTCACCCTTTACACATACGCCCCCAGGCACAGACTCAGAGAGCAGTGTGCCAAGCAGAAGATAGGAGTCAGGGCAGACCCCCCAGGTACACTGCTGCTGAAGAGGAGCAGCTGTGAGTCCCGAGGGGGGAGTCTCCCCAACATAGGGTCCAGGGACAGCTTCCTCACCAAGGGCTCCCACCACCAGGTCTGTGACTGTGATCACTCACTGCCTGGCCTGGGGTTGTCTTAGAGCTCCCAGGTAGCTTACTGCCCACCTCCAAAAAGACGTGGGCCCAGCATTGCTCTTAAGAGTACCCTGCAGGAGGTCCAGGACTTTTGGCAGCTTGGTTCAGGGCCAGGTTCACACAGGCTCCTATGGCCAAGCATACCACTCCCCCATGAAGATGGCTTCTCTTCTGAGAGCTTCTCCTTCCTGGGCCCTTGCTCTCTCCCTCCCTCCTTCCCTTCCCCTCTTCTTCCTCCTGCTGGTCTCTGGTGGGCTCAGGGAGCCCCGTCTTCCTAGTGGTAGGAACCAAGTGCTTGAGCCATCAGTCGTTGCCTGCCAGGGTACACATTAGCCAGAAAGTAGACTCTAGACTGGAGCTGGGACTTCAACTCAGGTCCTTTGATATGGGATGTGAACTGACTGAGCAGCCTCTTCAGGCTGTGCCGGAAACCTGTCTCAGGTTTAGTTCTGTAAAATAAAGGAGTTCTGGAAATGGAAGGTGATAATGGTTTCTCATTACAAAAAAGGATGTATTTAATACTACTGATTGCATAGTATGCAGACTTTTTAATTTTTATTTTATCTGACAGGCAGAGTTAGAGAGAGAGAGAGAGGAAAAGACAGTAGGAGAGAAAGATCTTCTACCTGCTGGTATATACCCCAAGTGGCTGTAATGGCTAGACCGAACCAAGCTGAAGTCAGAAGCCAGGAGTTTCATCTGGGTCTCATGGGTCCAAGCACATCTTCTGCTGCTTTCTTAGAGCATTAGCAGGGAGCTGGATGGGAAGTCGAGCAGCCAGGACTCAAAATTGCACCCATGTGGGATGCTGTATCACAATGGCAGCACCTACATTTTTTTGTTCTAAGATTTATTTTGTGTTTATTTGGAAGACAGAGTGACGGGGGAGGAAAGAGAGAGAGAGATCTTCGATCTTCTGGTTCACACCCTAAATTGCAGCAACAGTAAGG